CCGTGCAAGTCTTGATAAGGCCGCGCTCTTTCGGTTTAATCCATATAGAACCCGTCTGAAGCCTTCATAGATCTCTGCACTTGAACTCTTTGCGAATTTCCAGAAACCCGAAACTCAAAACGCAGGTCTCCTTCAGTTCTCGGGTCATGGGAGCCCCATACACACAAAATCAACCCTAAGAAGCCCTAATAACTAATCACTATACGCAAACACTTAACCCTAAATAAAACCCTACAATAAGCCTGAACCTAAGGGTCCAAAGGACCCAATAATTAGGTAGTCGGTTTTCAGATAATCGTCATGTAGGTTAGTATTTCGGAGAGTGTATGGGAGTTCCCGAAAATAGGGGACCCCAATATAGTACCCTAAATTGTAGGATCCCTGTTATAAGGACCCCAAATCAGGTACGACTTATTTTCGGAAACTCCCATATAATTATCAAGTATTTTGGACCCTTGGCCCTGAACCCCGCCTTGGCGGCTTGCTGTTGATGATATAAATCCTGCATTACCCATAATAAGGAATATACCAGAATTCCCATAGTTTAGGGTCCTTAAGGTAATGCAGGATTCATATCATCAACCGTTAGACCCTTGGCCCTGAACCCCGCCTTGCCGGCTTCCTCGAGCTCCTTCTCCATTATTAGGTACTTGGACCCTTCGCCCTCAACCTTACACCCTAAACCCTAAACCCTCAACCCTCAACCCTAAACCTTACCCCGCCTTGGCGGCTTGCTGGAGCTCCTTCTCCAAGTACGCTCCGCGCGTGGTCTTGAGCATCCGAGACGCGAGCACCAGGCCCAACATGGCAGCTCGAACTCGCCTGGTTTTAAGGGCTCTTGAGAGGGGCCTAGGTTTGGGATTTAAGGGCCTTTCGGTTCAGAGTTTAGGGTCTTTAAGGGCTCTGGGGCTAGGTTTAGGATTTAAGGGCCTTTCGGTTCAGAGTTTAGGGGTTTCGGGTTTATTAGAATTTTTTGGGGATTGGGACTACGACCCAATTCGACCGAATGATTGCCTGGTTTTGCTCCTCGACACGCCCAGACTTCGCAGCTCGATCCCACGGAGCTTGTGGCTCATGTAGTGGCAGTCCTCCTCCTCTGTAAAAAGCTTGGGCTTGACTCTCGCAGGGTTTGGACTCTCTTGGCTTCGGACTCTAAACCCTAAGCTTCCCTAAAGTGTCCTGCCACTCCGCGAGACTGGACCCCAACTGCGAGAGCACGTCCTCCGAGGCTTTTGCTTCAAGTTCTCCAGCAGAAGGTTTAGGGTTAGGGTTGAGGGTTTAAGGTTTAGGGTTTAGGGTTGAGGGTTTAAGGTTTAGGGCCTAGGGTTTAGGGTTTAGGGTCCAGCAGAATGAACTTTGCACCGGCCTTTGCGAACTTTTCTATGGGATGTTGAAGGATGAGCCAAGATTTGTTTAACGGACTTTGCAAGGGTTCTATAAGGGTTCTTAGAATCCAAGAAACTACCCCATAATCCAGGAATTTTAGAAAGCATGTGATAGTGACTTGTGTCCCCAAGCTCGAGAAATGAGGATGCTCCAAACTACCGTCACTCTCTGCAACCCCCAGGAGGCACCCTATTTCTGACAGGCCTGAGAACGCAGAAGCTCACAGCCTAAACCGTAAGTTTAGATCCTAACCCTCAACACGACACCCCACCACGGGTTGAGGGTTTAGGATTTAAAGTCCTCAAGGCTGACGAGGCTTTGAAAAGGCCAGCTCCCGGAACTCTTTTGGAAGTTCTGCACGCCGAGCTCGAAATGAGCAAGGGCAGCATACTCCCCAAGAGTCTTATCCTCGACCTCCTGGCAGGCACATGAGCAGGCATGTGGGGCCTGCGCTCATGTTGGGGAAGCTGGCGGATGTATTGATGTCGCTCGTGGTGCCGACCATGAGGACGGCGACTACGAGGCGGAGGATGACGACGATGATGGTGATGATATTCATGGTGATCGTGATGGTGGTGTTGATGGTGGTGGTCATGCTGGTGGTGAAGCGATGGTTTGGTAATGGTGACGATGATGGTGATCACCACCATCATCATCATACAATCTTCATCGCCATGATCATCATCATCATCATCAATATGAGTTGGTATTGTTGGTATTCTCTTTTTAACAAAATATTATGGATGGTTCGGCTTCTCAATGCTGCTAGATAACTTCTTGCCCTCACATGTGCAGAACCACGTCCTCCCCAGCAAGCACCAGCAGCAGGGGGCAGTGATCGCCGTCCTGCGGGATGAGTTTTTTTTTTTTTTTTAACGTGTGCGTGTGTGTAGATATACACGTATACGTATAATATATATATATATATACATACATACATATACACCTATATACATATACACATATATACATATATACATATATGCATATATGCATATATACATATATACATATATACATATGTACATATATATATAGTATATACGTATATGTACATATATATATATATATAGATATATGCATATATATATATATATATATATGTACGTGTATATGTACATATGTGTACGCATGCATATGTGTAATATGTACATGTGTATATATATATATATATATATATATATATATATATATATATATATATATATGTATGTATATACATATATATATATATATATATATATATATATATATGTATGTGTGTGTGTACGTAGACGGCAGATAGGTAGATATGGGTGTGTGCTTCTGTGTGTCTTTTTGTATGTCTGTATGTATGTATGTGTGTATGTATGTACTCATGTATTAACGCATCCTTGCATTGATGTATTAAGGTTTGAATGCATAAACGCATTCACGTATAATAACTGTATTCATGTATGTATGTAAGTAGGTATGTATGCATATATGTATGTATGTGAATGATATTATATATGTATATATATATGTGTGTGTATGTATATGTGTATGTATGTGTATGTATGTATGTAGCAATACACCAAAAACAATATGTCAGAACGCCTTCGGGATCTTCACGCCGAAGAGCTCTGGTAGGTCCTGGCCGGCAGTTCCCTCTGCCGGCGGGGTCACCTTGGACACGACTCGGGACTTCGGCCGTTTGTGCGGTGCTTGTCGGGTTTGGGTATTGAGTGTAGTTTCGTATCGAAATCCCTGGCTGAACCCTAATTCACGAAACCACCCCGAACCCTAAACCCTAAATCCTAAACCCTAAACCGAGCTTGAAGCAAGCCTTTACACAGAAAATCTCGGCGCCCAACTGGCATTGCTGCTGCAGGTGGCTTGAACTATGTTCAAGGCCAGGCCAAATCCATGGTCGAACACCCAGGGCTTCCCAGAGAGCTTAAAACAGTTAAGTAAAGAATATGCCTTAAAGGACGAGATGCTAATAGGATGATCTAAGGTGGGCTCCGTAATCAAGGGGTTTTAGTTCGCGGTTTGGGTTGAGCTCAAGGCTTCAGTTCAGAGCTCCGGCACCACCTCAAGTACTACCACTGCTTCCGCCTTTGCTTAGAGGCAGCTGCCGCATCTGACTGCGACTACTACGACGACTACAATCATCAACAAAATACGATATCTCGGATGAGTCAGGCAGTCTGGGCGAGGTGCTGCTCACCGGGATACTACCAAAATAGCAACATCTAGCCGAAGACTTCCGATGATGATTGAAGATTAGCATAAAATGAGCATGATTAATGGCAGTGCCAGCACTGCAGAAGACTTCTCTTCCGCAACGTCTCCGAACAGATGCCCTCGGCTTGAGCCAGAAAGCTCTTCTGCCATGACTTGGAGCGGTGCTAGCACTGTGGTCTCCGGGGTTAGAGGTCATAGTGAATCGAGTTTACGTAAAGGGTCATGGGACTTAGTGAGTAGGGTGATAATTAAGGTAACTATACTTATAATTACTTATAACCCCAATTAAGGTACTTATAACCTTATGTACTTACTAAGTCCCATGATCCTCTTGTCGCCCCTAGCGACGAATAGCACACCTTCGACATACATACCTTGAGCTGATTTAGCTTTGGTGGGATTTAGGAATACAGGGCTGGAGCATTTGTACTTGCAGGGCTTAGGATCCAAAGTCCAACGTCGAATAAGCCTAAACCGTCAAAGACCCTACAGTATGCTCTGCAGTATGTAGTCTTGAACGTATCAGAATAGGGTTTACGGTTTAGGGTGTTTAAGGTTTAAAGTTTAGGGTTCCCCGCAACCCCAGACCAGACCCTGACGGTTTCTCGGCCGTGCTTCAAATCCCGGGAGTTGGGAATCCAAAATATACATTCCGAGACCAGCCGAAGCCCAGCAATATCCAGGAACTCCTGAAAGCGTACTACGCTGACGTTGCTGCTGGTGGCGGCGATGATGGTGATGATTCGATGATGCTGGAGGAAGTGGAAGTGGAAGAGGTGATGCTGTGAATGAGTGCTGTCGTGCTGGTGCTGATGCTGGTGCTGGTGATGTAGGGGCCATAATAATTTGGACTGGGGTTTTTTGGGGGGGGTTATACTGCAACGTACTGGTAATTATTTAGGCCCTTGTATTACCTGTCCGTCTAGACCAGATGCAGTCTTGAATGAGCTGTGTATCGGAAACACACCCGCAATACTTATCTCTGAACTCAAGGCCTCGTTTCTTCTCCGAAATCTCAACACAAGCTTGACCTTCTGACAACCTGTGAAAGTTAGACCTTACAGTAATCTTGACAAAGGGCTCAACATTTGACAAGTCAAACTCCACAAGTACAGTACTGGTATGTGCTGACGAAGACCTCCTGAACTCCAAACGAAAGACACGTAACCCGCATGCATGCGAATTTAGGGCAATGGAGTTTGGGTTCCAGTTTAGGGCTTCTTGAACCCTTAACCCGAAACCGTGAACCCTGAACCTTAAGCCCTAATATAGGAGCCTTAGTAACTAGAAGAGGGTGTTGGGCACCATAATATTTCAACTATAGTAAGGAACCCCCCAAAACAATCCTAAGGTAACTATTAAGGCCCCACGACTTGCAACCTTCCCATCGCATCCTGCGGCCCTGCCTGCACGTTCTCGGCGCAGACGAGGAGTCGCACAGCACTGGTGATGGACATGGAGTCGCCTGGCTCTTCGTAGGGAATGGGGGAAAGAATACTGGGGACTATTACTAACCGGGGATTACCATTATCACTGTTAGTACTATTATTACTATTATGAATATTACGACTATTATTACTATTAATACTATTCTTACTATTTTATATAGGGACTACTATAGGAATCCATTCCCCTATTCCCTATCAAGCGCCAGAGAGTCGAGTCGCCTGGCGAAGTTGCAAAGCAACCTCGGGTCCGGGTCCTAGGCCTTGAGTTCAGGGTTTGGGGCCTAGGGCTAGGGTTTAGGGCTTAGGGTTTAGGGGGTTTAGGGTTTAGGATTCAGGGGGTTTAGGGTTTAGGGGGTTTAGGGTTCAGGGTTTAGGGTTTATAAGGGTTTTTTCAGCATTGCGGGCCACAGAGTTCGAATTCAGCCCCAAAGCATCGTTCAAGTTACGGGGGCCCCTGGAAACTATATTTTAAAAGCATTGTGCACTAGGACCATGCAACCCTAAACCACACAGCTTTCGCTTCAAAACCTGAAGCCGACACAGCCCTAAACGGTGAGTACCCAGCTTTGCGTCTAGTATATACCTGTGGCCAAAAGGGCCTACCTTTTTAGGGTTCCTTATTATGGTTTCTATATATAGTTCCTTAAAAGGGTAGGTCTTTTCGGCTACAGGTGGGCCTTAATGGTTCGAATAGGGTTTTGGTGCCCATTATACTACATTTTTAACAAGGACCCCCCCAAATGGTATTGGTAATTACTTAGGCCCCTATAATAACGTGACGGTTTAGGGTTTAGGCTTTAGGGCCCACCTGTGCCTTCGTTTATTCAACGAATCATCTGGAAGCTGCCCTGCTGCAGCTGGAAACACACCAAATCCGTTTGTGAGCGTTTCCACATAAACAGAGAAGGAGTGGGTTTAGGGTGTAGGGTTTAGGGGTTTAGGGTTTAGGGTTTGAGAACATCAACCAGGTGAACCCTGATAACCTGCTGCACCTCGGTCTCAAGCTTTCAAGCTTCCAAAAACCTGGAATCCGCTTTGTGGCCTGTTTTCCGGCTCGACGCCAATGCCTCGGAGGCGCAGCGACGCGCCTCCTCCAGCAGTGCTGCTCGGGTTAGGGTTTAGGGTTTTGGATGTAGCATGTAAAGTTTCGGGTTGTGGTAAGCTTGTGTAGCTCAGGAAGCTGGATGCTGCAAAGACCTGCAGCCTCCTCGATCTCAAGTCAAAGAGGATACTTTTCCTGGGGAAAAACAGAAAACTTGATGAGCGGACAAAACCACCACTTAAACTCCGAAATCAGTCTTGGGATTTTGGGGGGGTTAAGCCCGAAAGCCGAAACCTGGGATTTTCGGGCAAGCCCCCCTCGACCTCCAGCTGCTGGCATTCCAGACTCTTTTCTGCAGCCACCTTGTTTGAGGGTTCATTCATCGGGCTTGAACAGGGCATTTGACAGTGGGATGGAGGTATGGACTCTACGGACATGTTTTTCATCGCCCGTCGGCGATGATGCCACTGAAGCAAAGGTGGCTTCCTTCGCCTCAGACTAGGATTACTCCCTGATCGAAGCAGAGAGGATAAGTCGCTTAAATGAAGACACAGCTACCATTTCCCCTGGTGAGGACTCACCGTCAAAGCTTCAAGCAATCGCCTCCACAGAACTAAAATACTATCCTAACCATTGCTATTCCTTGGGCCACCTGCTAGAAAAGAACACCAAACTGCATTCTAATTCCAAGGCCCCTATGTTGCATACGAGCCTCTGCCTGTTGGAGAGCCTTGGGCAATCGCTACGCCCCGAGTCATCCTGCCTTCTGCCAAAAGACTGGTTAGTCGAAGTATACAGAGTTTAGGGTGTAGGGTTTAGGCTTGGTTAGTCAGTCGAAATCGCCAATACCGGGGCCTTGATAGGGTTTCGGGGCCCTTTTGTAGCATGGCTTCCGACCCCTACATTGGAGTTGGAACCTCGAGCCAAGCCGTCGAACGATACAGGCCCAAAGGCCAAAAACCCAGGTGCCCGAGTGCCCCAGCCAGCAGCGCGGCGAGATGCCTGGTGTCGGCATCCAAGCTGTCGTCGTTGACCTGAACGGCGAACATGGAACTGAGGCCCAGCTCCGAATCCAAACTTTAGGGGGTTTACAGAACTGTTTAGGATTCAGGCCCTAAAGCCTATAACCCCTAAAACCCCTAAAACCCTGAACCCTGAAACCTGAAAAGTCACGAAGCTTCCTGCCAGATCGCCAGGATGCTGCAACGATTCCGGCAACTGAAGTGAGCTCGAAACTCACATCCTCGAGCTCCCGCGCCTGCTTTCTGTACTTCTCAACCTGAGCGGAGGCCCAGTAAGCACATTCCGCTGTAAGGTCTTACTATCCTGTAGACAGAACCCTAAGGGTCCAAATGCCTAACAATCATATACTCTCCCGGAGAAATAACCTACATAACTGCTATCCGAAACCTGAGTACCCGATCATTGGATCCTTTGGACTCTTGGGGGAAGACGTGCAGCTCGTCGAGGCCACGGCGTCAGCGTTTAGGGTTTCGGGTTTGGGGGTTTAGGGTTTAGGGGTTTAGGGTTTAGGAGTTTAGGCTTTAGGTAGGGTTTAGGATTTAGGGGTTTGGGGTAAGGCTGCTCAGAGGAAGTAGGTTCAGGCGTTTTCGTCAAGTGCAGTGGCTCTTTTTCCACTCGCAGAGGGTTTAGGGTTTAGTGGCTTCTGCCCCATATAACCCCCAATTTTCCCAAATTAAACCCTAAACCGCGAAAGTCGAACTTTTGTACTCCTCCCGCGCCCCACACACCAAGGCCGATGCCGAGCACAGGGGGCTCGATTCAAGCAGACCAGCCTCACAGGCTGGGAGGCCCCCAGAAACTTAAACATTTTGGTGTCTGGGGCTTGGGATTAGCGACGGTGATGTTTAGGGTATAGTGTTTTGGCATGCTTACGGCAACGCTTCTCTGTGCCGGGCGCCTGAGGCAACGCCTGCTCTGCGATCTCCCAGTTTTCAGCTCTCACAGCCTGCGGATGTCAGGGTTTAGGGTTGAGGGTTTTTTGAACTTAATTTAAGGTACAGGAATAGGAAGCTTTTCTTAGGCTCTCACAGGCTGCGGATATCGAAAGTGCTTGGGAGATGTGGGGAGCTGAAACAACAAAAGCCGCAGTAACCTTTTTCTGAAAGGCTCGGGGCAAGTACACGGACTTCTACTGACTTCTACTGGGGCTAATCTTGCACTTTGCATCGGTCATGAGTACACCGAACCTCCACGTAAGGACGCCAGCGACTTAATATCCCCCAAGCCGCGACATCAGTGCCCGCCTTCGGCCATGGAACCGCTGCATGCAACATCAGCCGAGACACATGGGGGGCTCTGAGGCTATTGTTCGGCTTGGAGGCCACTGTAGGACTTTCGAGGAATGCTGCGCTTTCAGAGCCTGGGGTTGAGAGTTACAGAGCTTCTGGCTTTGGGGTTGGCGCTGTGGGCTTCAAGGGTCTATCAAAATGCAAGCCATCTGATGACATAACTGCAATTAAGCACGTGGTTTGACGGCCCGAATAGTGCACCTTGATGTGGCAAGAAGAGGTCCGGATTCAATTTGCTCCAACATGCCCAGACCCCGGCAAGATCCCAGCTTAGGTTTTAGAGTTTAGGGTTACACGCCCCCTGCCCAGGATAAAATCAACGTGCAACAGATTTTTGGCGACTCGAGTTTCTCGCATCTCTGCAGGCATTGCTCCAGACGTCTTCGTCAGACTAAGAAGTAGTGAGACTCTCTTCTTCATAAGGCCCTTCAGATCCCATCCAACCCGCTGATGACCTGCAGAGTCTCGCGTTGCACTCCCACTTGATCATACTACAGCGGTCTGAATAGTTGGGTACAATGTCCCCTTATGACCTCTGCAAAACACCGTATTCTGATTGTTCAGACCCCATATCCGAGGGCTCCAGCCACCTCAGCCAAAAACAACCCCTGTCTAGCTAAGATGCCGTGGTACTGACAGATACACGACCTCCGGACCCAACGAAAGCTTCTGCCGTCAGCTCTTGCCGACGTCGCTTCCGGATTCCGGAAATGTTCGTCTCGAGTTTCTGGGCTTTGATTGCTCTGTGCTCCGAGTAACGGGGCTTCGGGGCTCGGGGATTTGTCGCACTAGGCCCTACCTGTAGCCGAAAAGACCTACCTTTTGAGGGTTCCTTATTATGGTTTCTATATATATATATATAGAGAGAGAGAGAGAGTTCCTTAAAAGGGTTCTATATACAGTTCCTTAAAAAGGTAGGTCTTTTGGGCCACGGGTAAACCCTAAACCATCCCTAAACACCCCACTGTCAGACCAAGAGCCTCAGACTTCGAAGTCCGCACTCTTCAAAGCCCTCGGTGCACGAGATTGCTTAGCACTTACCTTTGGATCTATAAGGGTTACTATAAGGGATCTATAAGGGTACTATAATATAGGGGCTTTGATATAATCATATAACTTACCTTTGGTTAGTAGGGAATGGAGAAATGGGGTACAATGAAAGCTGCTATTACTACCATTCTTCCATTCCCTTCTAACCAAAGGTAAGGTCAGAGGGAAGGCTCCAAGATTCTAAGGTTTAGGAATAAGTGTTCAGGATTCCGGGTTTAGTCTAGAGTGTGATGAAGCTGACCAGGGGAATGTTGTTTTGATAAACGCAGACGACAATGACAAGGATTGTTGCTCGACGGCTCATCCTGGTCATGCATCAGCCCTACATTATTTGCTGTGTTGTAAAGTCCATTTTGTAAGACTGCCGCCCACAGTGTGGCAGTCAGATCTGCTGCCAAGATGGCAGGACAGAGAGACTCGTTTTTGAACCCTAAACCCCAAACGAAACGATGGCACACATTTCTTCCCATGCCGTCTATGCTCACGCTTACACGGGTGAAGCCTGGGCTCCAGGGCCTACATCTCAGCAAGCACATTACCCGTAAAGCCCCGAACTAAAAAAACGCCCAGTTGAAGGGCCAAAACTTCGACACCTGCGCACCCAAAGCACTACCGAGTCTGGGAGTATCGATTTTGCCTGAAGCCCTGGGAACAAGAACATCAATGGCAAGGGGATATCGGCCTTTCAGGCCCGTAGCCCCGCGCCGAGGTTTCAGCGCTCCAGTCTTTAGATGCCAAGTTCACATCCAAGAAGAAAACTACCATTTACGGCTTCTTGGGTCCTTTACGGCTGATAAACTCCAGTATGCCAGCAGTTAGCAAAGCACCCAGGGCAAGATGCCCTACGCCCTAATCCCTTCTTGGAGGGTCGGGGGACTTGGTAAGTAGGTTATAAGTAGACTTTTAAGTGCCTTAAAAGGGATCCTAATTGTTGTTATGGTACTTATAAGTCTCTAAAAGAACTACTTACCAAGTCCCCCGACCCATCCAAGTTACCCCTTAACCGTAGCCCCAAGCCCTGTCAGGTCTGGGTTTATGAAAAAAGGGGTGCCAGAAGCAGCCCCCACCCACCCTGTAATAGTGACCATAAGGATTAATAAGGATTATATTGGAACCCATTATATTCCTACTATACCACTATTACACGGTGGGGGCAGCTTCTAAAGGGTGCCAGAAGCAGCAAGGCAAACTGATCGGAGGCCAAAAGGGGGGTTTAAGATTCTTGGGGTGCGGATTCCTTAAACTACTAAACCCCCATAGGCTAAAACCCCGTTTGGCCTCCTATGACAAACTACCTCTGCCTAGCTCATGGTTGGAATAAGATGAAAACTGTAGATTTTTAGTCCTTATTGGGTTTAAGTGCCCAGAAAGATGTAAAATGCCACCCAACTATGACACAAAGTTGCAGCCTTCGAGTATTTGGGTTTAGGATTCTAGGGTGCGGGGTTTAGCGTCCTACGCCCTACACCCATAAAACCCGAACCTTGAACCCATAAGATCCGAAATTCCTAAAGAGAGCTCTGCTCGCAGCCGCTTTTTGTCGTCTTGGCAGAGATTATACCGTATAGGATCGACTGTTGATGAGGTCATCCACAACCTCTTTCAATCAGACTCAGAGCCTTTTCAATCAGACTCAGAGCTTGATGCCTGAGCAACTCTCAAAGCTCGCGGCGCAGGTATTGGAAATGCATTGCTTGCACGGGGAGGACTTCGCATCCAAGCAGAGCGAGGCACCTCGGTTTCGTAGTTTCGGCTACAGGGCCTCGGGAAAACAAATTTTCAGCCCAGGGTTTAGGGCTCCCAGGGTTAGGACCACCTGCAACTGTAGTATATGTTTGTTACCCTTTGCTCTGTCGGGGCCTCTTCGTCGCGTCATAAGCCTGAAATGTTGTGGGCGTGGTGGTGGGTCTCGGGCCCCTTAGTTGTTTCAGAACTGACCCTACAACACACATAGGAGTTTACTCTACCGTTCGCGATCTTGTGCCATTAATTAACGAGTCACATCATAGCCTACTGTAACCTATGTCCCTTATGTAGACTAAACTATATCCGCCGACCCCGCGAAGTCGGTGTGACGTTTCCAAACCCCCCAGTACTCCACGGGCCGCAAACCCCCCAGCGGTCTCCAGCCGCTTCCCACCAGGGTTACTATAAGGGATCTATAAGGTCCTCCACCACAGCCGGCGTTTAGATGGGTTGCACTGTTCACGCATTTGGTTCGCCCAATGGGGCCCCGACCCGTTCGAACCCCTCCAACCCTTCAACGGTCCCTAATTAGCCCTCCACATCAGCCTACGTTAAAGATCTGTAGATCGAACCCCCCAGCCCTTTCGAGCTCCCCACTTCCGATCAGATAGGTTTCACGTATTTATATAATTTAATTCGAAGACCCCCATGAAGCCTCGGCCTCCACGGCCGGCACGTAGATAGGTTTCATGTATATACTTCGAGCCCAAGAGGCCCCCACCCGAAGCCCTCCAGTGGTCTCCGCAGCTGGCGTTGAGTCATGCATCGAATGAAAGGAAAACAGAAGTGTACACCACCAAAACCCCCTGGACGAACTTAGTCGAAGGTCAAAATTATAGTATTATAACACTACAGTAGTACTAAAACAGTACTAGAATAATATTATATTAGTACTATAATAGTATGATAGTAGTGTAATATGCTATTAGAGTGCTGCAACTCAGGCCCAGATGCAATTGTCGTAGGTGCACTGTGTCAGGGCACCCCAGCAGGCGCTGCAACCCGGTGAGAGCCCGGTGGCCTGGGACACGCGCTTCGCCATGCATTTCCTTGGGAGTTTTAAGGTTTAGGGTTTAGAGTTTAGGGTTTAGGGTTTAGAGTTTAAGGTTTAGGGTTTAGAGTTTAGGGTTTTAGGGTTTAGAGTTTAGGGTTTTAGGGTTTAAAGTTTAGGGTTTTAGGGTTTAGAGTTTAGGGTTTAGGGTTTAGAGTTTAGGGTTTAGAGTGTAGGATTTAAGGTTTTTTAAACGTTTAGGGTTTGGGGTTTTAGGTTTTGTGCTGGAGGCTTCAGGGTTCCTCATGGCAGCCTCGTGTCCACTTTAGAACCCTTCTGGGCCCTCCAAATACAATACCTTAGAAGCTGCCCCCACCCTGTAATAGTGGTATAATAGGAATATAATAGGGCCCTACTATAATCCATATAGTGACTATTACAGGGTGGGGGCAGCTTCTAAACAATACCCCTTATTTACCGGCTGCAGCCTACCTAGGAGGCTTGAGGTCTCAAGTCGCGGGGTGTCGGTGTTAAGGTTTCTACCCTCTGCGCTACCTGAAGTGCTGCCGCATCACAGGGGATGGCCTGTTCATTGACTATGGTTGGAGCTGGCCCCGATTGCGAGAAAATCGAATTGAGAGAGGGGACACGAACTATTGAATCGAATTAAGGAAAGAATGATAAAGACAAAGTAGAGGGCGAGGTGATGGCGATTCTTTGACATACTTAGACGATGTTGAATTCCCTGCATGTAATGTGGACCTTCCACACTTGAAGTGATGACAGGACTATAAACCCTAAACGGCCCTAAACCCTGAGCCCTAACCCCAACCAAAAGACTGAGGTAGGATGCATCCCAGGTGCCCCCAAAACCTAATATTAGATAGCATGACAATACTATTTTAGTATTATGGTACTATTATAGTACCAGAATACTATTCCAATATTATAGTACTATTCTAGTATCGTAGGACTATTCTAGAGTTTTGCTACTATTTTATAGTAATATCGTACTATTCAAATATAAGTCCCCCAAAACCCTGCTGAACAGCCGGGCTTCTCGCCTGCGTCCTTGGGGAACCTCGGGGGGGGCACATTCGAGCAAAAAAGCTTTGGTTTCAAGGGTCTTTACAGGAATTTAAGGAATACGACACCCTAATTAAACCCTAAAAGACTGTAGATTCTGGGAGCACAACTAGAGAAGCAGTCAAAGCTGATATGTTTCGGTGTGGCCACTAAACTTGATGTCTCTACAATCTGTAATTTCTGGAAATGGTTCCGGGTTTAGTTAGGGTTGAAGGCTCAAAGTTTACGGCTTAACTCAGAAATCGCTGCACCGTAAACCCCTGTAACCCCAAGACCCTGTAAACCCCGATAAACCTTAGAGCCCCAACAAAGACACCCTAAACCCTAAACACCCTAAACCCGAAAGCCTAACACCCTCAACCTTGAACCTCAGCCCTAAACCCCAGATCTGTCCCAGGTACTGAGAGCTCCCAAACCGCCGGATGCACCTGTCTTCCCAAGTTCCGCCCGGTGGATCTTCCAGCCTAGGTGTACCGTTCAGGGTTTACGGGGTAGAGCTTATGGAGCCAAGCCTATGTTGGGGCCTGGGGTTTTTGAGCTTGGGCTGTAAGTTGTCTGATTCAGTCTGTGTGATATCGTATGTGTATGTGTATATATATATATACACCTGTTTATATGCTACACACTCTGGGTCATTTTAGGGCAATGACAACAACCCCGATGCATCCCGATGTTTGAAGCTCAATCCACCCGTGAGGCCCATAAAATTCAATAGGCCCACTGAACTCAAAAGGGCTGTCGGATTGAAGATTGAAGATGCCCTGGGAAAGATTTCTGTCAGACCTTCAATCTTCAATCCGGCAGCCCTTCTGAATTCAATGGGTCTAGTGAATTCAATAGGCCTCACGGGTGGATTGAGCTTCGGGATGCATCGGGACTACTCTCATTGCCCTAAACACCTGTGCATGTACTCTAGCACCTGTTGTATTGTTGCAGTTCTGCACAGACTAGGGTTCAAAGCATACACATACAAACATACAGAGTGATCTGTTAAACTGGTAGATGAGCGAAGGGAGAGGGGGTGAGTGGCCGAATACGCAGGATTTACGCCAAAACTGGTGGATAACTCGGGGGCACCACAAAACAATAAACCCATATATATATATATATACACACACACATGTAATGTAGGTCAGCCAAGACAATGACAAAGCTTATCTTCTCTCCTGCAGGTCGGATCGGATGAGCATGAGAGTGGGGTTTAGGGGTTTTGGGCTTGTGGGTTGAGGGTCTGGGGTTTTTAGGCTTAGGGTTTAGAAGCGACCATGCTGGCGACTTAAAGTGAAGATCCTGAAACACCCGCCCTAAAACCTTAAACCATACTGCTCTAGGAGCAAAAAGGTCTTCATGGCATTGTCCCATTGGACCTTCAGCTTGCTGTACTTCTCCAAATCCGCGGCATCACAGGCAGCGCTGGCGAAGGCGGACTCTGCCTCAGGCCGGCTTAGGGTTTAGGATTAAGGGCTGAGCTGGAGGCTCGGGAGACTTAGTACGTAAGTATAGACTTAGAGGTACCCTGACAGGGGTCCTAATTGGGGGTTATGACACTTATAAGTACTTAAAAATATGTGTGTGTATATATATACATAATATATTTCTGTATTTTTTGTGTTGTTTAATATCTATCTATATATATATATACATACATACAATAGCGCCCAACCCAGCACCCTCCTACCGGAGCCATAAAACCCCTAAACACCACAAAATCCTCAAGCCTACTACTGCCAAAACCGACTTTGTTTCCGAAGCCTAAACCCCAAACCCTCAACCCTAAACCCTTAAACCCAAAACCCCAAACTCTGACGTTGCCTGGAAGACGGCCACTGGAAGACCTACCGCCGCGGTGAGGACTTGGCGACGTGTTTGGACTGCGGGGCTCACGAAGACCGGACCTCTGGTTCAGGGTTCATAAGATCTAGGGTTTAGGGTTTATAAGGTTTGGGGTTTAGGGTTTAAGGCTTTACGTTTCAGAACTTTACGGTTTGGGGTTTAGGGCTTGGGGTCGTAGGGTTTCAAGTTCTAGGGATGTAGAGTCTGGGAACTTGGCATAAATCCTAATCTTTGTATACTATACTAGCAGTGTAACAGAACAGTATACCATAATAGTTCAAGGGTTAAGGGTTTATATGTACGGCATGCACGAACACAGACCTAAAAATCACTGTTCTGGGCCTACCCCAGGAAACTTCGGAGGACCGCCAATGCCAGTGCCAGGACACAGGCCAGCTGAGTCTTTGCGTTCACCATTGCGCAGGCCAGGAGCAAAGTAAGGCAGCCCGCTTCTACACAGCTACCCTAGAAAAAACTAAACCCCGAAGTCTAGGGTTCAGGGTGTAGGGTGAATTAAAACCCTATAAAGCCCGAGAGCAACAAGCTCCGCTCCCGAGGTTGAAACAAGATCGTTTCCATGATCGGAAAGCTGTACTTAATCCACAATCGTCTGGCAGCCTGCATGGCGTTGATGGGAGGGGAACCTCTCTGACATCCAAGAAGTGACAAGAGCTGCGGTGAAGCTTAAAGTTGTATGACGTCGTGAGGTGGAGCTTCAAGGCTTGCCGCAGGGTTTCGCATTTTCGAGCCGAGATGTGAAGGAGCCACAAGAATCCAATTGGGGTCGCGGCACACCCACAGCACTCACACCACAGCCCAAAGCATGCGCTCTCAATCTCCGGTGTCATGTCAAGAAGAGAGGCTCGGGCTTCGGGTCTGGAGCTTTGGATCTTAAAGGGTTGAGGCAGTGCGGGCTCCACATGTTCAGACTCTCATGGATGGATGCAGACCCCTACAATTACAGGACGTCTTGCCATGGAAACTTCCGATGAACAAAGGCCACGCCGGCTGGCCGGGGCCCCCGCGGCGAAGCGAGCTGGGAGCGCTGCCATCTTGGCGCTCTTCCTTTCGAGGTTTCCGGGCGGCTCTCTGTGATGGAAAAAGCTCGTACAAGACGGTAAAGAGATGTGCGGACTCTAGGAACGAGATCGCAGGCCCTCAAGTCACCAATTTCGTCTGGCTCAGGGGTTTCGGGAGGTTGTTTTAGGTACTGGGTGCACTGGGTGGCCCTTTCTGATGAGCCAGTCAGCCAGTTCACAATCTTCACCAAATCCACTGCGGTTCCAGCATTGATGACTGGGCAGAACAATGCTGAAAGCTGCTTAGTTTTCACTGCCAGCTACAGTATCCACGCCTCCTTGCAAGACGGCAAAACTCGATCCACCGCCCCTAAACCCTAAACTCTAAACCCTCAACCCAAGAAGGGGCGGGCCTGGGGGCTGCGCGCGCTCTCAGGTCTTCAGGGGCCACCTGCCAGGGTCTTCGGAGGGGGTGGGAATGTCGAGGCTCGGGTGTAATAATCCACTATACTATTACACTGCCAACAACTTTGCTATACTCTACGATATACCATGATATATTCCAACATACTCGAATGCATCGATATAATGAGGGTTTCGGTGAGGCTTCTGACATGGAGGCGGGGTCTTGGAGGCCGCGCTTCGCCTGGCCGAAGCTTTCGTCTCCTCGGGGGATCATGGGACTTAGTAAGTAAGGTGTTATACGTACCTTAATTGGGGTTATAGGTAATTATAAGTGTAGTTACCTTGTTTAGGGTTCAGGCAAATATGAGTATAGTTCCCTTAATTATCACCCTAAGCCTCCGAGCGCGGCCCGGCGAACGGGTGGATGTTGGTTCCTCGGATTTTCAGCTTTGCAACTCTGGGGGGCTGTTGGGTCTTTTGCGCTTTTGGTTTCTTCGGGTTTGGGATTTTAAGGCTTAGGACCGGTTGGGAGTTGGGGGTTTCTTGGGTTTAAGGTTCGGGTATGTGTTTGAGGTTTGGCACGGCACAGGAGCAGACTTGGGGTGCTTTTTGCAGGTGTCTTGCACGTGACTCTCTCATACCCGCGGTTCAATTTCGCACTTACGAGCCCTCAGTGTGAACTGCATAGCTAGCCTACAGGCTTCCAGCGTGCAAGATGGCAGAGACGCTCTGCTCTAGAACACACAAAATTTCCAATTTCCATGTGCGGCCCCTTGAGGTGGAGGATTCTGTGAAGACGAAAGGGGCTCAGAATGCGAACTGCGCCTTCCGAGTTCCCGGAAATTCTTTCTCTAAGCTGAGCCCGGTGCTACCCTGACAGTTGCGCCGAAGCCTCGTTGGATGGCCTGTCCACGGGTTTGCTGAGCGCTGTCTTCTCTCTTCGTGATGCCCAGGTCTTTGTGGATACCACGTCCAGGCTTGGTGGCAAACATGCTGGCGACATGCAGTGCCGTCAATGCTTGGCAGAGGGGCCTGGAAGCGCACTTTTTTCTTCCGCCAAGAACCGAAGTCAATTTAATTGGGAATTGGATTCCTTGCAAGGCGCCCGACATCGCACGGCCAACCGTGACTCTTTTGGACATGGAGCTTATGTGGGAGCTTCTCCAGAACCCCTCGTGACACTAATGTAAAGACACTGGACCATCATCATCCTTGCTCGGTGCTGAACCCGAAAACTACACTCAGATTTGGAGAAGATCAGCTGTTTCGGCATGAGCCTATTCCTGGCGACTGCGTGAGACTGCTGGCTAGCTGTGATCATTGACAGCGCCCAGCATGAGAAATAATCGTAAGCTTCTCTCTCTTCCCATGCCGTTTATGCAATGAGCAAGCTTAGGATTGAGGCTTTAAGGCGCACATAACACCGAACACGCTAACCCAAAAGCCCCAAAATTCTGTTTGTACCCAGTCGGGCCAAACACCCAACACCCCCATACTCCGAACCCTTAGGTTTCGGGTTTCTAGGAGTTTAAGGATTTTGGGTTTAGGAATATGGGTTCGGCTCTAAGCCCTTCGGTCCGAATCAGGAGAGCAAGAGCATCATTAGCACAGTCGGAGCTCTGACTGCGATATCAAACGGGATCGGCTTGAAAAGATCAGTGGTGGAGGTCTTTATCTTGATGATCATGCCTTGAACGGACCATGGTTTCTGAATATAAGCGGTGGCTTCATTTGCTACAGCTGAGACTCTAAACTCCGAACATTTCCGCCCAACGGCATGGGATGTAAAGAAAGGAAGCGAGAAAGAAGCAACGCTTCTCTTGGAGCCCACGAGACAGCACAAACAGAAGGATCTATCTCACCAATAGAGTTTCTAGCATCCCTTTTTCTCGGTGACGTATATGTGCTTATGGCTCCCCGGCAGTGGACTGGCCGGTCCGTGCACGAATTGGATCAAGGGTCGTGGCTCGCGTGCTGTCCAATACAGACTTGAACTTGTCAGGTTTCGGGTTTAGAGTTTAGGAGTATTAGGAACTTGGTTTAGGGGTTGAGACGGGATCTGGGCCTCCAAAAGCTGCTTCTAGACTCCTAGAACAACTCTTCTGCACTGTGAGGCTCTGATAGAATCAGCTATTTCGGACTGAAGGGCTTAGGGCCTACAGGGCAAAGCACGAGTCCCTCCGCACTCGAACACTCCTGTCGCCTGCCAGTCCCGAACATCCGCACCCAGATCAAAGATTGATACTACGTGAACTAGGTCTTGCGTGCTGCCAAACACCAAGAGCCAGCCGATTGATGAAAAACATAAGGTTCTAGGATTTACGGCGCATACGTCCGCAGTAAGGGTGCTTTATTTCAGGTCAGGAAGGTTTGGAACTCCAGACTCTGGATTGTTCAAGGTTTGGGGTCTCGGGGTTTCGGGCGTGGGGCTTGGAGGTCTAGCGATGAGGGTTCGTTTCGCTTGGTGTTCCGGTTTGCATATATACATATACATATTCATATACATATATAGGCTTTCGCATCGAAGCACGGCCTCTGATCCTCCGCTATGTCTAGCAGGTCTGTGTCGATCACGCGCCTTGGCGCAGGCGGCGCAGCTCTTCCAAGTGCTCGTCTGACAAGCCGTAGATCTCCTGGTCCTGGCACGGGCATGATCATGACAGGCGGATCTTGGAAGCGGGTCGGAGGGCCAAGGGCGGATGGGCCACGGGCGGATTTGACTGCACATTGGAGCTTGAAGTCTCGGGATGCACTGCAGCCGAGATCGCCGTCTCGAAACAGACGAGTCAGCTTTTCTCTTCCTTTGTAAAATCTCCGCTGAGGCGACGGCCCGTGCGCAAGTCGCTCGTACTCGCTCGTCATGCCCGGGTTTGGGGCTTAGGTTTTGGTGCTTCAACAAGTTTGGTGGTTGGGGGGGTGGCATGGCTTCCAGCCTTCACCTGGTTGTAGTACTTGCCAAAGCTTTTGGGTTCAAGGATCAGGGTTGTTGAGCTGATTTAGTTAAGCGCATTGCGGCAGTCTGTCGAAAAGGCCTTCAGAGCTTTGGAAAACCCGTCGCGTCATGATGCGAGTCATCATAATCACGCCCGCCACCACCACCACCACCACCACCACCACCACCACATGATCAGCGTCAGCATCGCCCGCGTCAGCAGCAGAAGCAGCAACATGATCATGATTTCAATGGGTTCATGTAGGCCTTCGTTTGTCTCTTTTGCCAGGCCTCCGCTCGCTGTTGCGACCCTTCTTTGCTGAAGGCTCCATGCAACGCAACGATCCCGTGTCCTTCAAGTCAGGGCAGCGGGCCAGGGCCGCGAGGAGCCCGGCCGCACAGTCGGCGCCCCTGGAATCTTCGCCGAAGCACCTGGGCCGTGAAGCACACATCTGTGCTGAAGAATCTCGAGCTACTGATACTTGTATCACGTATCAAAGACAACTTCTCAGACCACCCGTTTCTTGTGAAACGGCCGAGTGCCTGCCACCTCAAAGTCTCGCACCCCTCCCACGTCCCAACAACCGTCTCGACGAGAGAATCCACGAATTACTCCAACAGGCGCTCTCGCCAAGGCGCCCGTCGAAGTTCACCTTCGCGAGCTTCTGCCATGTGGCTTTCTCGAGCTGCTGCCACGCCGCTGCCCAGATCTGGTTGCAGTCGTAAAAGCTCAATTCCTGGCCACGGCGTCACGTTGTTCACCCGGCTCAACAAGCCTAAGCACTCTCAGCTGAGACTCAGACCAATTCGACAAAATCAGTTTTCAAAGGCTTGCAGGCGCGTCCTTCAGCTCGGGGCAGCGGCCGAGGAAGGCGAGGAGCCCGGCCGCAGCCTCGATGCCTTTGGACTCGCTGCCGAAGCACCTCGGGCTGGAACACCCCGGCATGACAACGTCGAGAACTGGAGGCTTCTTTTGCAGCCAAGTCTACACGAAACCTCTGCACCCCCAGAACTCCAGAACTGCCCTCCGAGGCGCCAGTCCAAGTTCACGCAGGCGAGCTTGGGCCACTTCGCATCGGCCACGAGCTGCTGCCACGCCGCAGCCGGGATTCCAACGCAGCCGCGCATGTCGAGGTCCTGCCCGGCCAGGTATAGGATTCGCGGGTAAAAACAGGCAGAGGAAGCTGTCTCGGCTAATGGCGGACAGCTGCCCCGAGCCTTCGAGCGCAACCAGCTGAGGTTAGGAAGAGATGATGCGGTATTTTGGACGAGGGAATTTTTCCTGGCCCGCGTGTGAGAATGCTTCCCTTCTTCGCATTGGCGGGGGTGGGCAGTCACGATGCACACCTGCTTGGTGACATCTTCTTGCGAACAAGGATCCAACTCCCCCCACAGGGAAAAAGAGACTCCCTTGAAACGTTCGTGAGCCACTGCATTCGCTTCAGCTTGAGCGACACCTTCCTCTGAAACCGAAAGGATCGACTCTCCCTCCAGTCTTCTACGAATGGCAACTTACCTCTTAAGCTCTTTGTTTTAGTATCGCCAGAAGCCCGCGCGTGCTCAGCCCCAGCCCCGCGAGGCCCAACGGCTCCCACTGTTCGTTGCTTCTCGGTTGCGTGGCTTTCGCTTCCTGGATGTGTCGGAAGCTTCGAAAGACCATCCACCATCCACACCAATAGCCGCAGTTCGCTGGCCCTCATGGCACCCTGAAGATCCCCAAAAACTCTTCTCCGCCTCCGCTCGCCCCGCATCCGAAGCTTTGAAGCTACAAGCAGAATCGAACTCGCGCACTCGTGCGTCCTGGAGGTGCTGGCAGCGGCTCAGGGCTGAGAGCAGCCCTCCAGCGCCCTCCGCTCCCTTGGAGTTGTCGCGGAAGCACCTCGCAGGAGAAAAGCGCAGTCTTTTTCTTCCGACATTTCTGCAGCACGCAAAGCAGTCTGCTCTCCGAGGCGCCCTCTGAAGCTCGCCTTCCTGAGCTGCTGGAACGCCTCACCCTGGCCGCCGAGCTTCTCCCACACGGCGGCGGGGATGTCTTCGCACCAATTCAAAATCAGCTCCTGGCCGTGAGGCTTGTCGGAGATGCCTCTCTGCTCTCCTCCCTCCCCCATTTCTCTGTTGTCCGCCCGCCCTCAGGCCCGGAGGGATCTTGGGTGCTTGACATGCGAACTCCCTCTTGGGCAGGGTGGGGAGGGGGCCCAGCTCGGTGCGTAAAGCAACACTCATACACGACGCGTCAACCCTCGTGCAAATGAAACATCGAATAGAGGAAGCATGTACTGCCAGCGGCCCTTCAACCTGCCGCGGTGTCCTCCACGCCGGGACAGTGGGCCAGCGCCGGCAGCAGGTTGCCATCTTGCTGCACTTCCAGTGCTGCATCCGGCATCAGCACCGAGGTGACGAAAGCCGGGTGCATCGGCACCTGCTTGGCCCCGTGCTCCTGCAGCTCCGTGGAGCTTGCCACCTCGCCTGCGTCGATCGGAAGCGTGCTGTGTTCAGATGATCTGAAGACAACGCTTCGCAAGATGCTCGCACGTTCTTGAATCGAAAAGCATCGCGGCTTCGAGCTCTGGCGGCTGGCGGCTGCTTTCGGTCATAACAGGCCGCAATGCCCCAGACAGACAGACAGACATCCATCCATCCCTCCCTCCCTCCATCCATCCATGCGCTGTACATTCCCACTCAGCCTTACTTCCTGTAGCTGCACATGCGACTTGCGACAATGACTTCGCGGTCGCTCCGTGAGCTGCAGACTGACGTGGCGGAACCCAAAACCAGAAGCAAAGACAAAACGAGCGCAGCTTGCAGTCGGCCCCCAATTCCCGGGCTCCACCCTCCACTCGCCTGCAGCTTCGATGTCCAAAGAAGCTCCGCGGAGCCTCTCCCGGTGCTCCTCCGGGACGCCTGTTGCAAGCCGGAGGCGAGGCCAGGCGCCGTCCGCAAGCAGCTTCCAGGCCGCGTCGGGGATCGCATCGCACAAATCGAAGTTCACAGCCTCGCGGCCGCCGCTGAAAAAACAAGCTGCCGACTGCTCGGAAAAAGCAAGCAGAAGCAAAAAACGAAACAGAGAGTCGAGGCGTGGTTCTTGTCTCTAAGCTGCCCTGTAGCCCTATGTGCCGGAAATGAGAGGCCTCCAGCTGCTTGGAGCGGCCCAGAGCCGACAGCAGGTCCTGCGAGCCCTCGCCGCCGCCACTGCGAGAGGAAGGGAAACACCTTGCCCCACTGAGAAAATGCGCCTTCCCTCTCACTCGATCTCTCCCCTCCTCCACCCCTCTCGGGTCTCCGACCCGCATCCCCCCTTCCGCCCAACAAGCCGAGGCGCCATCTGAAGCTGGCCTTCCGGAGCTCCGGCCACTCCGCAGCTCGGAGCTCTGCCCAGGCCGTGGCCGGGACTTCGTCGCAAAAGTCCATGACCAGCTCCTGGGAAAAGAGGCCCCCCCCACAAAACGTGGGTGCGGCTTTCCGTGAGAAGAAGTGCCCTCTCTAAAGGGATCATGTGGCGCAGCAGCTCTCCACTGCGGAGCAGCTCTCGTATGTCGGCGGGTCCTTCAGGTTCCGGCAGCGCGCAAGCCCGGCCAGCAGCGCCCTGGAGCCCGCGCCAGAATTTGAATGGAAGCCCCAGCGGAAGCACCTCGGCTCGGCTCCCGGCCACCGCAAAAGAGAAGGGGCCCCAAAACGGCTCCCCGCGCGCGAACGCAGCTCCGAGAGGCCGAGGGGCGAATAGAGATTCGCCTTTCGGAGGCGCTCCCCGTGCCGGGCCAAACCCGCGCCCAAGCGCTCCCAAGACGCTGCCGGGACTTTCAGGAAACCAAGAAGGTGCAGCGTGGTGGGCTGCGACGCGGCGAGGAGATCGACCACCGCCTCTTCAGAGAAGAAGCCCAGGCTCTCAAGCACATGGCTATGGAAGAGCACGTCGGCGCCAGACGCCAGGATCCTGTCGAGGCCCTGCTGCGTCAAGCCCCGGGCCTCGAGGCAGGGTGCTTTTTCTGTTTCTGGAGTTGAGAGTCCGAGAGTCGCTCATCACAGCTTGAAGATGCTTGTAAGCATCCCTCCACGTGACCAAAACATTGCTCTGCAAGCACACACAACTTCCTGTCCGAGTCACCGCGGCGTCTGAGGTCAAGTCAACTTCAAAGTTGCCCTGCAAGGCTGCCAGGACCGCCTTCGGCACCTGAAGGCGTCCGTGGTAACTTCAGTCTCCGGCAATCTGCGCACTGCGCCTGGCCGTCGGAGCTGGGGAAGGCGGCCAGTAGCGATGAATAGGCGATGACAGGCTCCTTGCCTCCTGACAACGGCGGTGCGTCTGATCTGCTGGCGGCCATCCGTGCTTGTTTCCTGGCGAGGGCGCCTGATGCCAAAGCCGCAAAGCTCGGCTGGTCCACAGAGTGGCCACGCCAGCCTCAAGCTTCCCGCATTGCTGGTCGCGTGCCAGGGCATGCGCACTCCAAACAAATATCGAAACCACTCAGAGCGGCTGAGGAGGCCAAGCGCTGCCCAGCTGACGAGGCTAACCACCTCGGCGAGCGAGGAACGGCGTAGGTCAGCAAGACGACCTGACTGGACCTCCACTTGGACAGGCTAAGCGCGGCACGAGCCATGCGATCAGCAGCATGTCCGGAAGGGCCTGCGATCATCGAAATCAAATCATGGCGATGAGGCATGAATGCAGCCCAAAACAATGTGGCGGCCTTGCATGCTGTCGGGGCCGTGGTCACGCGCAGCAGCAACTGGGCGCCACCAGCGGCAGCCACCAGCACCACGTGGATCATCAAGGAGTACCTCGCGCTTGCGATTCCAAGAGGCTTGCTACAGACCCACGGCGCACCTACGGCGCATATCTATCCTGAACCACTGGCCGACCGCCGAGAGGCCGGAGCTTCAACAAGGACTGTGGCTCCAGGATCTGGCCCGGGTGGGCGATGACTGCAGCCTCAATTAAGACAAGACCAGAAAAGCCATGTGACTTCTGACGTCACACGCAGGCCAAGCCGAGCAGCCGCCACGTCGGCCCAGGAGGCCTCTGGGAAGGCCACCCGGGCTGCCAACAAAGCAAAGGCGCCGGCGCCGAGGCCCGTGAAACGCAGAAGTGGATAGCCCCGAAGGGAGATCTGCAGTACGCTGTAGGCCACGACGCGACTGAGGACCTCCAAAAATCTGGCGAAAATCAGGCAGGCAAAGCTTGGGCTCCACCCCAGCTTGCCGGGGAGGTCCAGCACGGCCGAGTCCGCCTTGTCGCGGCCGGCGAAGCCGAGGCCAAGCGAGAAACAGGAGACGGCTACGGAGAGCGCTAGGCTTTGGAGCTGGTCCTCCGAGAGCTCGAGTGCACGAATTTGTTCGATCCCGCCTAGAGCGGAGATTAAAAAATTCGTCTGCACCAGTGCAGACACCGCGGACTCTGCAACCTGCGGCGGCGTTCGGACCCTCGAAGGCCCTGACAAAAGCAGTCTCTTCATCCAAAACCCCTCGAACGAAGTCCCAAACCCCTCCGAAAAAATCCATCCTCTTTGGTTCCTGGCCTCGGCGATTTTGGCACCCGCGAGGAGCGGGTGCTTCCTCGCGACAGAGCATCTCTAAAGGCCACGCGACCACACCGGCAATCGCGGCTGCACATGACCCCAACTGCCCTGATAAGCCCAGCGAGTCCTGCGAGCCAGAGCGGACAGCGTCACCAAGACCGCCATCAGGGTTTGCGTGATGACGGCCGTAAGGATGGCCGGGAGCAGAAGCGTGGGGGACAGGAGCCGCTCCAGGCGGTCCTTCTCCGGCGAGCCGTGTGCACAGAACCGCATGGCTTCTATGGTGGTAAACATCGGCGGGAGCGTCATGCCGGCCAGATTAAGGATCAGATACCCATGCAAACGGCTGTTTGCAAAGAGTACGAGCTGTCTCACGTCAAGCACGATGTCCACGTAGAAGAGCGCCTCCGAGCGATCGCACGCATCTCCAGTCTTCAAGCGGATGCACTGCCGCGCACTGTGTGCGCTACAGCACACTGGGTAGCGAACACTTCGGAAACAGTCATTATCTGATATCTGGCAAGGAGATCTCACTCTAAGGCCCTGGCGAAAGTGAAGACGAGCAAATCGATCCAAAACATCGGGGCAAAGCCGGCGCAGGTGCCTGCGAACTCGACCTCCACGAGGTGATCCACTGCCGCACCCTGGAAGAACTTCAAGCCGACTACCTCCCAGGATCACGCGCCAACTGCTGCAATTCACACGTGCAGACACGAAACGGACTTCCCCTCTCGCCCCGAGCCTCAGGAAGGGCAGCGATGGCCGCTGCATCCCAGCGGGTGGCCGCCCCGTCCTTCTCCAGCTGTTCCAGAGCGGCGGGCATCCAGCGAATGCGACCCGGGAACTCCACCGATCGGGATGAAAGGAAGCGCCGGGACAGCGGTTCCAGGTGGAGTGTACCGTGGATCTCCAGCAGCACGTGTGCGTTACGGACGGCTGCGAAGCCCGTGTGACCATCGGTCGCCTCGGCAAACCGTTTTTGGAGCTACGGGAAGTACGGTTGCTGCTCTGGGCTCCCGGCCTCGTGGAATCGGAACCCCAGGACTCGTGCATCATCTGGTAGCAGAAGGGTGGACTGCGTCGATGGCAGGCTGCCATCCTCCGGGCTGCCTACTTCCGGCAGTTCCTCCACCAGCCGCACGGTCTGTGGTTCTGAACCGAGGTTCAGCTCCAAGCGAAGAAGTCTCATGAAGTCATTTTCCAACGCCCCTCCAAGCTGGATGTAGCCATCTTCCACCGAAAGCTCACGCGGGCACGCAAGGACGGACACGATGCTTCTCTGCGCCGCGCTGCAGCTCTGCGACACTGCACTGAGGCTGCGGCTGTCACCCGCAAAAAGAGGCCCACACAGTCCCAGCCCGAAGCAACCCGGCGCAGGCCTCTGGAGGCTCAGGTCCTCGATGTCCTCTGTCCTGAGAAGTTCATAGCGGTGCCCCAAACCAGCCATGGCCAGGGTGGCACATGTCGCGCCCTCACTGCTTTAGCAGCACGCGCAGCTACCGGGTCTTGGCCGATCCTTCGAGCCGTGGAGGTGGAGGCCCCGAAATTCGCAGATCGAAGCGAAGCATCACAGAGCGACAGTTCACAAAGCATGCAGCCTCAGAGGAGGTGTCAAAAGGCATCACCCACTTACCTTCTTGCTGCTGCAATATTCGCAACTACCCCGACTGAGGCTGCCTCGAAGGAGTTGCGAGTGCTGCGCATGGACAGGGACGGCCTGCCGCTCAAGAAGCTCGTTAAGAGATGACAGAGTCCCGAAAGCTCGGGCACGACATCGGGCCGTCTTCCCGTGCAGGGTCGCCAGAAGTCGGAAGGTGCAGCGGACAGGTTGCGAGTGCGGCTTTGGCAAACGGCCGATGTCCGGCCCTTGGCCCCCACAAACGCCTTCTGACCTGGAGAATTCCCTCACGACAGCCATCGGCCGAACTTATAAGACAGAACAGAATCCGGCACTTGCGGCATGCCTGATATGTGACCGTAACAGGCCCTAAAAATGAGCTGCCATGCACAGGACAGGCCACCCTCTGCCCAGCACACCTCGGTGGCGGAGCTCGTGCAGGCGCAGTCGACCACCCGGTCAGCCTCAGAGGAGCGGCGAAGCGGAAAGCTCCGAGCCTCGAAGGCTCCCTCAAAGAACTCCCCGGCTCGTTTTAGGGTTTATATATATATATATATATATGGTTAAGGCCTTGGGTTTCGAAAGACTTTGGGGTGCCGACCGGGGGCTCGGGCTTGTCGTAGCTTCTGTGTGGGCATGCGGGTTTGGTGGCTGTTCGGGTGAATGAGGGGAGATTCCGGCTGGGGGTCTCGGAAATTCTGACTGCAGCTCGGGTTCAGGACTTGGGCTAGGTCTGTGTGACTTTGTGTTGTGGTGACCTGTGCTCTCAACCTGCACTGACATCCAAAAGAAGTCCTCAACATCGAGCACCCCTTCAATCCCAGGACAAGTCTCGGGCTTCGGGTCTGGGGATACACGGAGTTCCGGGTTAAAGCTTCCGATGAAAAAAAGGGCACGCCGGCGGCCGGGACGCACGCGGCGCAAATGGGGGCCAGCGCAGCAGAGCCCTGCCAGTCTCCGAGGCAATCTCGTGGGGCTCTATTTTTTGAGGCTCCTAGGGGCCTCTGCTTCGCCTCGCTTCGGATGTGCTGAAAAACCGTGTATAACACGGTACATTGATGTGCAGACGATAGAAACCTGGCACGCGAGATCACGGGTCTTCGAGCCGAATCCCAGCGAAAGTGTTGGGAAGCTCGGAGACAATCCGAACCTCCTACAAACCCAATGCGTGCCATCACTGGGTGTTGGCTTGGAGGCCCTGGGCGGCACTTCTGATTTTCACAGATCCACCTCAGTGCAGATGCCTCAGAAAAACACGCTGAAAGCTGCCTTTTCCCTGACATCCGCGCACATCTCTCGGGTGTATTAATCTACTATAACTACTTAAGATACTGTAGAATAGGCCATGACTATATGCTGTGCTAGACCAGAATGTACCGCAGTTTCCCTCCCGGGCCTGGGCCTGGGCGACCTCCGCGCACTCCGCGCCCTCGGAGGGGAAGCTTGGAAGGCTGACCGACACCCTCGGCCTTCGGGGGGCATCCTGAAGAGTTATGCCTAAACCCTCTCAAAATTGTGGAAAATCGCGGCCCAACACCAACACCTATAAAAGGCGATTCTTCTTCATACTCTTCGCCGTCCTTCCGAGATGCGGACACAGAGCGGAGCCGAGGAGGGCGAGGACCTCCCAGGCTTCAAAGGAGGACCAAGGCTTGGGCGTCTCGCCTCTTCTTCGAACGTGGGGGGCGTCCGGGCTCGGAAGGCTTTGTGCAAAGGTTTCGGGCTTCAATGCGAGCACGGGGCTTCTTTGTCCTTTTCGGAGCTCTGGGGGCTTGTGCTCCTGTTTTGGGGCCCAGCTCAGGAGCGAGGTGCTTGAGCTCCGACACTCTTGGTTCGAAGTGCTAAGAAGGACGTTACTTGCGGGCTGACCCTTGAACCCCAAAAACCGCCATACATAGATCAGCTTCCCTACGGCCACGCACGCAAGATGATGTCATGCTTCTGTTGAGGGCTGACAGCAGGCTTCGACTTACAGGGAAGGTCTGCAAAACATACCGAGGCATTCTGGCTGGGGTAGGTCCGGAGAGCGAGCTCTCGCGGAGTGCTTCTGGAGCACTGGGATCGGCACGAGACCGTCACAGCACATGGCTTCCAGCAAGCATTCCATGGCAACTTTGACAATTTTCATTTCGCTGGTGGAGGAAGCCTTCCTGGCCCAAGCCACGTTTCGAAGTTCGCGCAACCTCTCTCTGACTAAGAGGTCGTGAACCTGGCAGGTATGCGACATGTCGACTCGAGCGCAGGGGCCTTTCGAGGTCGCGTTTGGAAATGGTCGGGGCTTCTTGTTTTGGGTTTCTCGGGTTTCGGAGGACTCGGTGCTCGGAGCTCCGGATCGAGCTCGGAGCTTCGGAGTTTGCGGTGCCAAAAAAAAAGCACCCTGCACCCGCTGCAAGCGGAACACCGATTCCAAGAGGCTCAAACTACGGAAGCCCAAAGACAGAGGCTCTCGGCGCAAGACATTGCGGGCCAGGAGGGGCGAGAGGGAGAGAGTGTGAGACGGGGCTGTCGAGTTGGCGTCCGGCTGTGGACGTCTTGCGGCAGAGGATTCAAACACTCGCGCCTTCAGCTACTGGATATTACTGGATTCTTGGTTAAGAAAATGAAGAAATTTCCACAATAGGGATCTGTAGTGAACACTATGGTTTCCCTGTTATAGTAACTTAAACTAAATTCCTTAACAAGAACCCAGGCTGATGGTCGTTCGGCCCTAGACGCAGAACACTGCCAGAACGCCTAACCCCAAACTCAAGCCCCTCGCCCTCCGCCCTAAACTCATAACCCTAAGATCCTCTCGAACACACAAGAATCTCGAAAACAGAAACTAGAAACCCCTACAAAACCATCTCACAACAAGAATACTAAAGAGACCCCTTGTCAAGCCAAGGCCGGTTGAGGCCCTTATTCCCTTTTGTGAAAGGCCCTGGGGCCGCCGACCTTCGCCGACCTCCGAGGTCTCGATCACCGGGGGCCCCTCGCACGACGCTTTTGGGGGTTTCTAGGGTTGAGAGCCTGGGTTTCGGGCCGGGGTTTGGGGCTCAAAGGGTTGGGCTCGCTTTGAGGTTCCTCTTATCGGTGCACAGGAGGTTTAGTTTGGGGGGCTTAGCTGCTTCGAGTTTGGGGCTTGTTGGAGTTCCCTTTTTCTGCGACGACGAGTTTTGAAGTTGAGGCTTTCCCTCCGTCTTCACGTGGGAGTCTGGGCTTCGGGTAGTGGGGGTTTTGGGGTTCAGTTCAGGGCTGAGGGGATAAGGATGAGGCCCTCAGGCTCATAGGGCTTTAAGGTTTAGCGTCCTTAGACCCAAAAGCCTACCCCAGGAGATGAAGATGACGAGGGCGACGCTGACGGCTGACTCAAAAAAAAGCCAAGCCCGCAGCCCTAAAGCCGCTAAAGAACCAGAAGACCCCCCTAAGGCCACTCTTAAAAAAGCAAAAGGGGAGAGGGAAGCGGTGGAGGCTTGCTTTCGGTTCACGCGGCGGAAGGGAGCGGCCTCTGAGCTGAGTTTGGCCGAGCGGCGCGGCCCGACGAAAGGGCGGCGGATCTTGGAATCCTCGGTGCTTCAGCTTTGTTGGGGTTCTCCCGAAGTGAAAAGGAGATTCCGGCTATGGGGTCTCGGAAGTTCCTGCTGCAGCTACCGTTCAGGATTTGGGCTAGGTCTGAGTCTTTCCGGGTAGCACCGCAACCACACCTCTCAAGCTCCCCTGACATGTAAAAATATGTCCTCAACATCGAAGAATCCAAGCCCCCACTCGATGGGAAGGGAAGCCCCCCGGGATTTCGGCTCTGGAGCGGACATGTGGGGCTTTCCATGGATTGGATGCCGAGGGTTCCGGATCTAAGGTGCTGGGGCCCATGCGAACGCAGCAGAGCCCTGCCGCCTACCTCCGAGCGAGGCTGTTTCTTGGGGGCTCTTTCTTCGGGGCCTCTGCCCGGCCCGTCTCCCTTCCGGACTTGATGAAAAAGCACGCAGGACGTCACGGAGATGTGCAGACGATAGTAACCTGACATGCGAAATCCGAGATCGCGGGTCTTCGAGCCGAATCCCAAGGGGAGTGTTGCGATTCAGGCTCGGAGATCCGAACCACCTACACCACCCAGATCCGATGATGCAATCAACCGACATCCACAGCACACCTCTTGGAGGGAGGTAGTAGTCGATTATGACAAGACCATTTCTCCAGAACGTACCATAACTATATACCGCGATTTA